TTTTATTACTTTCTAATCTTTATTTTAGATAATTTACTTTAGAATTTTTTTTAATTGGCATGTTCTTTTGTCTGTCTTGTTTTCATTTTGATCTTTTGGTAGCCTGCATAAGACTTTCTAATATAAACTCTACACCAACCTAAAAATTAGCATCATTCAAAATCCCATTAATGATTTTTTTTTTAATAAAGTTAATGTGTTTCTCCTCTGTGTCTCAGTTTCCAACAGTCTGGACCCAGATAGTGGGTCCTTGCAGTACCAACACCCCAGGCTCAGGCTGTCATCTACATCTTGAGAGTTTGTAGGTGTATTAAAATTTTTAATGAAAAAAATAAAATAGGACTGAAATGATTTTTTATTAAGATAATGTCACCTCCTTCTCCAGCTTGTGAGAGGTAATTTTCTTGCTGTCATCCCTAGTGGCCTCTCTGATCCTGGGGCCTTTATTAGCTTTCTCGGCACTGTGATCAAATGACCTGGAAGAAGCAACTCAGTGAGGAAAGGTTTGTTTTAGGCCATGGTTTCAGGGCATTTCATTACGTCATAACAGGGGAGGCATGGCCTGGCCACTCTGTGGTGGGAGTGGGCAGCAGATGTCCTGGAACTGATGGGGACCAGGAGCAGAGAGAGTAAGCCCAGAAGCAGGGCCAGTTCCTACTGACTGACTTTGTCAGGCTTAGCTTCCTAAAGGTGCCGCAGCCTTCACAGTAGCACCACACGCTAGGGACCACGTGCTCAAAACATGAGCCGATGGGCGAGCGCTCCAGATTTACGCTGTAGCATTTTGCTCGTGGCTCCCAAAGGCTTGTGATCTCTAATGTAAAATATGTTTAGTTCCCATAATCATATCAGTCCCTACACTGTTCTGAGGTCCAAAAGTTCAAAGTCCATTTGAAACTTACTGTGTGGGAATCAAGATTCACTAGACTCAGTGCAGGTTAAGTGAAGTTTATTCGGGGAGAAGGCACAAGAGGCAGGTGACCTGACCGCCACAGGTTCCCACTCCAAGACCCACCCAGGCTGTTCTCTGTGACCCAGCCAGAAGCAAGAGAGAGCCCTGCTCTCAGATCTAGTCCTCTCCTGCATCACATCCTCACCTGTGACCATGCCCAAATGGGTGTGGCCAGTGCTACAGGTGTGGGCGGGGTGGATATCTGACTACAGAGACTAATGTTTCTTAGCTGTGAACCCTGTATAATAAAAAAAGAAATTGAAATATTTTCAATATGCAGTGATTCAGAGTGAACATTGCCCTTCTAAAAGGAAGGACTAAGAGGAGAAAAAGGAAAGATTGGACCAAAGTCTGAAACCCAGCAGGCAAAACAAATCTGATCGCCCATGTCTGGCAGCTGGAACATGTGCTGTCATTGTCTTGAGTTCCTTCTTGTGGCCCAAATGTTTGCAACACTTATGGGCTCTTTGCTGGGTAGTTCTTAGTCAGCTCGACACAGCTAAAGTCATCTGAGAGGAGGGAAACTCAAAGTTAAGAAAACATCTCCATAAGATCAGCTGTAGGATAGACAAGCATTTAGGCACTTTCTTAATTAGTGATTGATGGGGACAGACACAGCCCATTGCAGATGGTGCCTTCCCTGGCCTAGTGATCCTGGGTTCTATAAGAAAGCAGACTGAGCAAGCCAGGAAAACAAATCAGTCAGCAGCTCTCCTCCATGGCCTCTGCATCAGCTCCTGCCTCCAGGTTCCTGCCCAGCTTGAGTTCCTATCTTAGGGTTTCTATGGCAACTCTTATACAGAAAACATTGACGTGGGGTGGCTGGCTCTCGGTTCAGGGTTACTCCATTATCACCTTGAAGGGGAGCATGGCTGCATGTGCTGGAGTAGGAGCTGAGGGTCCTGGGTCTTAAAGGCAACAAGAAGTTGACTAAGGTACTGGGTGGTTTCCTGAGCATAGGAAACCTCAAAGCCTTCCTCCAACAAGACTGTACCTACTCCAAAAAGCCACACCTACCAATAGTGCCACTCCCTGAGATTATGGAGGCCAGTTACATTCAAACCACCACAGTTCGTGTCCTGACTTTTCCAGTGAGGAACAGTGGTATGGAATTGTAAGCCAAATAACCCACCCCCATTTGCTTTTGGGTGTGGTCTTTTATCACAGCAATAGAAACCCTAACTTAGGCTGGCTCCATTCAGTAGCTACAGCTTCACTTAGTAGGTGTCTGTTGTATTATGTTTTTTCTTTTGGCATGGTTGGGGGGGGGGGCTACTACCTAGCTCCCAAATAAATCACACATGAAGTCTTATTGTTAGTTATGAATGTCCAGCCTTAGCATGGCTTATTTCTTGCCTGTTTTTCTTATCTTAAATGAACCTATTTTGCCTCTAGGTTCTTCCTGTTCTTTCACTTCTGTAGATTTTACTCTTACTCCATGGATTGCTGGATGACTGGGTGGCTGGACCCTGACACTGTCCTCTTCTTTTTGGGGAAGGGGGTTGAGACAGGGTTTCTCTGTGGCTTTGGAGGCTGTCCTAGAACTCGCTCTTGTAGACCAGGGTGGTCTCGAACTCACAGAGATCCGCCTGCTTCTGCCTCCCGAGAGCTGGGATTAATGGTGTGCGCCACCACCACCCTGTCCTCTCTTGACTCCTTCTAGTTATACGTTGTCTGCCAGCCCCGCCCATCCTTGTTCTTGCTTCACTATTGGCTGTTCAGCTCTTTATTAGGACCACCTGGTGGTGGTTACAGGCACAGTAACACAGCTTCACAGAGTTAAACAAGTGCAGCATAAACAAAAGTCACACACTTTAATATTCTACCACAGTGTCTGTTCTCTAACATTCTGGGGTCTCCATTGTCTTGGGCTTTATCCCCAAAGCTTTTCGAATGCCTGCTTGGGGGCTTCCTGCTGAGTACTGACTGCATCACATTGCCTGGCTTTTACATACTTTTTGATGGAGCACTAGCACAAACTCCAGGACACCATCACTCTTGCATTTTGTGTGCCTGTCAAACCAGTACCACATAGACAATACTGAGTTCTGCCAGCTCAGGAAGCACCTGGTTGACCTTGGACCTCAGCTGCAGCAGCTTCTAGGTACCTACATGACTGACCCTGGAAAACATTTCACTGTTTGAACAGGACACCCAATGGTGCTGTCTTTTTAAATGAATATTTTAAAATGGGTTTACATTTTACATTTTACTCTGTAACCCTCCCTGGGTCCAGTGCAAAGTGCAGCTTCCCTATACCTGCTATGGCTGACTGCCCTCTCTTTCCTTAGCCTTTGCTGTGAGCATGCTCTGTTTCTTGCCAGATTGCTTTTCAGACCTTGCACTTTTGCTTTTGCTATTCACTGTAAAGTTGGCTGAAAGCAGCAACGATGACCGTAGCACACTGCCTTGGAATTTTCCCCACCAAACAAATTAGCCCATTACTTTTGAATTCAGCTTCACTTAAAATCCCAGGGATAGGAAGGATGTAGATCAACTCTTGGCCAGAATACTAACACAAGTGGCCTTTAGTCCAGTTCCTCATAGAGGCCATATTTCTACCTGAACCCTCATGGGCACAGCCAGTGCTATTCATGTTTTTTGTCTTTCTAGGCTTCTGACTTCTGACCAGAAAGGCCCAGCAAGCAGAGGTTATGCACTGGGGGGATTTCCTAGCTTGTGCTTCCAAACTCATCTCTATATTCCCACGAAACAGTGTCTAGCATTGACGTGCCACATGGTCAGATGGATCACAACACACTGCACTTCTGGTACCAGTTTTCTGCATTAGCTTTTGTATCACTGTGACCAGATTTCGTGACAGAAATGGAGGAAAGGTCAATGAATTTTTCAATCCATCATCATCATCTTCAAGGCCACCCCTAGTTGCCTACCTGCAGCATGCCAGACCTCCTCCTGAAAGCTCTCAACCCTGGGAAATGGCAGCACTTGTTAGGGACTTAGTGATCCAACCACGGCAGGACTCGGGTCCCTGAGTCACTGCCAGCCTGCCTCGCCGTCCTTGTCATCCTCCTTTCACCATCCCTGTCCATTTGTTTTTCTTCCTCATGTTGCCTTGGTGCCTCTGTGAACTTGACGCTGGTTTTCCTCAGTGAAATGAGAATCTTGTAAAGGAAGAGTCATCATCTCTGCCTCTGCTGTGCCTGCTGTTGCTGAGCAAGGGCAGCTCTGTCCTTTGAACATTTGTGTTAAACACTTAGCAAGGTTTCAGGGTTTATCCTTTCACTGCTTCATGGGGATATAGATTACTGTCACTCATTTTTCCTTCCATTTTTCTGCGTGCGTGCGTGCGTGTGTGCGTGCGTGCGTGCGTGCGTGCATGCGTGCATGTGTGCGTGCGTGCATGCACATATATGTGGAGGCCCAAGGTTAATGTTCAGAATTACCCATGAGAGCTCTTCCACCTTATTCAGTGGTTCAGAGTCTCAATCAAACCAGAGAGCCCTGATATGGCTAATTTCTAAATGTGGCTAATCACTAGACAGCTTATTACAGGGGGGATGTGGTCTCCACTCTCCAAGGATAGATACAGGCAGGCTCTCCTGCCCATTTGACATTAATGTAGGTTCTGGGGGTGCACGCTCCAGGCTCAATGCTTTCAGAGTGAGCATTTAAGCATCTTTCTAGCCCAGATCCACACATTTGTTTCATGGACTATTTGTTGTAGCTTGTTTTGTTGTGAGATGGGTTCTCTCTCGGGCTGATCTCAACTTGTGACCCTCATACCTACCTCAGTCTTGAGTGCTGGTATGTTAGGTGGGTACCACTGCACCTGGCTAATGGCCTGTTTTTTATTGTTTTTCTTTGACTCTTGTATTGCAAAAAGTAAAGTCATTCAACGACAAAAGAGAAAAAAAAAATCTGGAATAGAAAACAGTCCTCAGAGTCCACAGAGGATTGGTTCTAGGATACCTTATATCAACTCAGAACACTGAGGTCCTTGTGTATCAATGATAATAGTCCTGCTATGTGACTGTCCTAGCATTAACTGTCAACCTGTCATAGCCTAGAATCACAGGAAAGAGTCTCAATTGAGTAATTGTCTTTATTGGGCTGGGCTCTGGGGCATGTCTGTGAGGGATTGTCTTATTAATTGATGTAGGAGGGCCCAGCCAACTGTGGGTGGCATTACCTGGGCAGGTGACCCTAGGCTATATAAGAAAGCTAACTAATATTGAGCCACCCTGCAGTGTTCTATGACTTTCTGCCTTCAAGTTTCTGCTTGAGTTCTGGCCCTAACTTCCCTTAGTGATGACCTGTAACCTTAGAGTGTCAGCCAGATAAATCCTTCCTCTTGTAAGTTTCTTTTTGTCTGTTTCATCACAGCAACAGCAGGAACTAAAATAGTGCCTACATAGACATTCCCGTGTACACACTGCAGGGAGTCTGTGGGGTCCCTTACATAATGCTACATAGGTTGTTGAAGCTACACTGTGGATGGTAAGGACAAGTCTTCGTGCTCAGTGCTGACCCCTCCTCCTTATGCGAGGGCCATCTACTTCAGAAACTGTTGGATGTGTTATCTTACGGTTCTTACCGAAATGCTTCAAACTTATGTCCATTTCTTAGTACAGCGCTGTGTTTCTAAGTTCCTTAGCTTCTACATAGTTCTATATGGAGAAACGTACGAACACTAACCAGACTGGGGTTTGCTTGTTGCATTGATTTTCTTCGTAGGGGACCCTCTGACCATGCAGTAGACAAAGTATTAGTTTGCTTGAGGAAATGACCATTGTCTTACTTAGATTTTTATTGATGTACTAAGACATGATAACCAAGGCAACTTATAGGAGAAAGAGTTTACTATGTGCTTAGAGTTTCAGAGGGTGATTCCATGACTATCCTGGCTCTCAGCTGTTTGTAACTTCAGTTCCAGGGGATCCAACATTTCTTTCTGACTTCCACAGCACTGCATGCATGTGGCATACATACATACATACATACATACATACATACATACATACATTCAAAACATACATATAAATCTTTTAAAAGTTGTACAAGGAGAGTTTAAGTTAAAAATCAGTTAATTTCCTTTAAAAACCTTATTAAGGTCTGACGAGACTTGAGATTTCAATACTTCTTAATGTTTATTTAAATAATAAGTGTGGTTGACTGTCCTTACTGAAGTGATTTGAGTAGAGACTTCTGAGGTCCAAGAAGAAGGCAGCCAGTGTTGAGAGCAGGGCTAGACATGTCCTTGGGATTAGATGGAGTGGTCTGTGTGTGTGTGTGTCCTCCTCCTAATGACTTTTCATAAGTACACCCACAGCAAAATGTGCCACACACCTGAAAAGCCACACTGTGAGGAAGGGTGGGCTCTTGCTTGTTGCTCTCCTTTTTCATTTGAAACAAGGAAATGATATTTGATTCACAAACTTATATTTTCTTAGCTTGGTACTGCCATTATTTTGGGTGTTTTACATGAAAACAGCAGTTGCCTGTGCGCAGGTATAATGACGTGGCAGACAGACTCCATGGTGCACAGTTCTCTTCTGAGTGTGTATTCAGAAAGCTGCTGGAGAGGGAGAAAGAGAGTATGTGTGTGAGTGTGTATGTGTGTATTACCACACATATATTTTCATTTCTGGAATGAATGAATTTGTGATGCCCTTCTTAAATCCTCTTAAAACCTCTTTTCAACCTTTAGGAAATTTCCAAAATCATCACCCCCCCCAATTGATAGGTTTGTATTTTATTTAAAGACAAAAGGAGGTTGTTTATTTTTGTGAATCCTCAGAAACTAGTTCCTGCAGCTTTACACTGGGCAGGGTCGGTCTGTCAGGACAATAGCTTGTCCAAAGATGGGCAATACCAGGATATTTTAATGACAAGAAACTTGCCCCTTCTTCTTATAAAAAATAAGTATTTATTTTACTTTAAAATAATGTGTGTTGGGGGGTGCACATGAGTGCAGTGCCCATGGAGACCGAGAGAGGGTGTTAGAGCCTCTGCAGCTTGAGGTACAGGAGGCTGCTGGCCACCCTGTGGGTGCTGGCACCAGAGGCAGCCAGCTCCTCACCTAACAGGTGAGCTGTCTTTCTCCCAGTCCCCCATGGCTTAACTTTTCTGTTGAGCAACTCTTACTGTTTGCAGGCTGAGTTCTTAAACCGTGGGCTCAGCTTTGCCATATAATGTGGTACAGACCCAGTTTGGGCTTTTGATTGGTTTGCGTGATAGCTGTATTTTGCTTGTCTCTGGGCTGCAGTTTTCTCTCAGCACCCATATGACCTGCTTACCACCTCAGAATGAGGGAGAACAATGGAGATAATGCTGACCTCAGGCAAATCGTTTCCAGCCTCACAGTTTAATGCTTTTAATGCTGGGTGTGCTATGGTCACTTGGGGAAAGCGGACCTTGTCCCTTGGCTTAAACCTGGGCAAACTGATTTCCTAGTTTTCCTCCTATTAGACAGGCTGATTCTTCTGCTCTGTATAGGTTTTGCAGTCTGCTTTGTGTATTTTTACTTTAAGGATACAATACTTGTTAGCCTACCTTTCCTCATCCTAATGATCCTGGTTTTCTAGATACTCTGTGTAAATGTTGTCTTTCCTTTGTAGACATATGGAGCCTGGGCGTGATCCTTTTCATGCTGGTGTGTGGACAGCCGCCCTTCCAGGAGGCCAACGACAGCGAGACCCTGACCATGATTATGGACTGCAAGTACACTGTGCCGCCCCGTGTGTCTGCGGGGTGCAGGGAGTAAGTAAAGCCTGTGCACACGGCACAGCTCCATTAAACAGAAACGGCTCACCAACACATGGTGAGGGCCTGGCATACCCTCAGCATGCAAGGACTTCAGTTCATTTAATTTATGAGATTAATATTTCTACTGTTAGCGTTTGGGGCCACCCATTAGTATTTGATAAGAAATTCAACACAAGAGTATAAAACATTCTAACCCATGTTTTCAAGAAATCCATTTTGCCTTTTCAGCCTCCAGAAGTTGTGGTTAAGACCTTCCCTTAGCTGACTTTTTCTTCAATTGCAAAAGCTAGACTGTTTGGAACTGTTTGAAATTCCAGAGAAGACTTGGGCTTTCCTCTTGGCAGGAGCCTATCGTTGCAGGGTTCCTCCTGCATCGTCTCGTGGTAGCAAGTCCTGTGTTCACACACCCTCCCACAGCAGAGTAAAGACTGTACTTCGTTGTGTGCCGCTGTGGGAAGTCAGCACTGACTGGCTTTGGGGTTTCTCCCTGTGAGTTTGCAGGATTATAGTGCCATCACCAGTGCAGTGAGAGATGCAATCTTGGAAGAGGGCTTTTTGAAGTTTTTGATATTTTTAAATGAACCAGCTGAGATTGTAGTTGCCAGTTAAAATATTTTTTTCTATATCAACAAAATTTAGAGTTTTTCCTGTCAGCTGTAAGGAAGAGCTACAACAGATTGGGGGTTCTTTTTCAGATAGAATCCCAACTTGGGCATTCAATTCTGGGGGCTCAAATACTGGCTTTTTAGCTTACTGCCTATGTGAGCATGGTGCAGTATACTTATTACTGTGAAAATGATGAGGTGATACTGTAAAGCATTGGTTCAGGCTGGAGCATAGGCGAGGCTCTGTGTACGATGGGGGTGGTGATTTGGGGGTGGAGCATGTGGGAAGCTGTGTGTATGTTGCTGGTGCCTACTGGTGATTGTAGGCTATATGTTACTCATGTTGGTGATTGTGAGTTGTAGCACACAGGAGGCTGTGTGTGTTGGTGTGATGATGATTTTAGTCTAGCGCACATGAGAAGCTCTGTCTCCTATATTGGTGGTTGTTGATTTTAGGCTGGAGCACATGAAGTCTGTGTGTATGTTTATGTTGGTCCTGGTGGTTTCACACTGTAGTACTCAGTAGATCCTGTGTGCCTGTTGTTGATTTTAGGTTAGATCACATATGAGTCAAGGAGTGTGTGTGCAGTATGTGTGTTGGTGATTTAGGCTGAGGCACATAGGAGACTCTGTAGATGTGTCTGTTGGTAGTGATTTTAGGTTGGAGCATACTGGAGTTGTGTTGGTGTATGTGGTGGTTTTAGGTTAGAGCACACGGGAAGGTAGGGGTGTGTGCGCGTGTGTGTGTGTGTGTGTGTGTGTGTGTGTGTGTGGTGATTTTGTGCTTTAGGACAAGGGGAGCTGGGTGGGTGGGTGGTGATTCAGGTTCTGTCTCTTACTCTTCCAGCTAGGAAGCCTGTGTACACCAAGTGCAGGTCAGATTATCTTCTCTGTCCCCAGTTAAAAACAAATCTCACTTTGCATAAAACTGTGTCATTGGAAGCCTACAGGCTATAGAATCAACATGGATGCTCCTCTCCTAAGTTCTGAGATGTTGCCTCTGTGTCTCCTTCCTAGAAGGATTGTTTTAATAACTGTAAGACCATTCAGATAAGAAGCAAAGCAACAGTGGAAGGTGGTGACACACACCTTTAATCAGTATTCTGGGGGCAGAGGCAGGTGCATTTCCCTGAGTTAACAGCCAGCCTGATTTACAAAGCTAGTTCTGGGACAGCCAAGGCTACACAGAAAAACAAAACAAAAAAACCAACCTTTTCTAGTGTGTTTTGCTAAGTGGCGTATTTTAAGGAACTTTCCCATTGTATCTACCTATTTGATGTATTGACCTTGAGTGTCTGTGAGACCTTTACTAACCAGGGTACCGCTGTCTGCATGCATGCTTCCTCCTGTTGTCCTCAGTCTGAAGCCTGCTGCTTGCTCTGTCTCTTCATGAGGACTGGCTTCTGATGCTTCCTGCCTGTCCTCTTATTGGTGTTATTTCTTCTACCTAACCTGGGAGCTGATTTTGTTAGTTATTCAGCTCATCGAATTTCTTTTACGATTAAAATGTTTAGGACTATAAATTGCTTCATCACACTGGATTTGATAAACAGTCTTTGTTATTCGACTCATAGAGTTTCCTAGCTTTCATTGCCTTATTTAATACTTGCCTTGTTTACAGGTGGTTTCATTTCTAGTTAGCTGATTGATGTTTTTGATTCCTATGCTACATTATAGTCAGAGAATACAGTCTGCATGTTACCATGTTTTCACGTTTTTGAGGCTTGTTTGTGCCTATCATGAAGATAATTGTTCTTGGTAGAGTGTATTTTCAAGTTGGGGTCAGAGGTCTATATACATCTGTAAGGTCAAGCTCATTAATTATATTTTTTCATTAATTATATTTTTAAAAGTTGTTTGCATCCAGTGTTCTTTTCACCTGCTGAGATACTCTTCCACTTTGGCAGTAGCTTTATTCTTAAGGTTTGTCAGTTTTGAAGTTCTTAGATGCAGGTAAGTTGAAAACTGCTGTCTTCCTGATGAATTGAATTAGCCCTCAGTGTCCGTTTACACCAGAGTAATGCTTCCTGTTTAGGCCTGTGTGTGGCATTTCAAGGGTTACCCACACCTGCCGTGTTGGGTCAGCATCTGTGTATGACAGTTTTCCTCATCTTTTTGAACAGTCTGACTTGTTGAATCGCATGGCAGTTTCTATCTTTACAGCTGTGGAGCTTGTTCCATCTGGGTTTGTTGTGTGCAGTGGTAAATACAGCTATGGGTGTGTCTCTGCACTCTTCTTTGACCTTACCTTCTGCCCTGGAGCGTGGTGGTGACTTTCCTTTTCTGCCATTTATCTCATGTTTCAGCTAGCTGGGAGTTGTAGGCTATTATTTTAGCTTTTAAAAAATCTACAGTTAATACTTCTATTGTCTTCTAAAACATTTTAAAATACTAATATTTTAACTATCATCTAATACTTTAGTAATTTTTTTCTAACTCTACAAATTGAAATTTTTATATAGTCAAATTGTTGATAAGGGGCTGGAGAGATGGCTCAGAGGTTAAGAGCATTGACTGCTCCTCCAGAGGAGACCTGAGTTCAATTCCCAGCAACCACATGGTGGCTCACAACCATCTATAATAAAATCTGGCACCCTTTCGGGCATGAAAGTGTACATGGAAGCAGAATGTTGTATACACGACAAATAAGTAAATCTTTGAATATGTGTGTGTGTGTGTGTATACATATATGTATGTATGTATGTATGTATATATATTGTTGATTATCTTCTAGATGTTTGACAGGAACTTTGCTAACTCCCTTCTCAGAATTATATCTTTCATATTTGCACTTGCTGTTGGTGGTTAATGCTGCCTTAGGAGTGTCTTTATGCTGTGTGTCCATGAAGGTCACCCCTGGTCCTTTCTCTCTCTGATGTCCTTCCAGCCTTTCTCAGAATCAATGGTTGCATCAAGAAGTCAGCTGTCTGCCTGATAGCTCCTGCTTCAGAGTTCTGCTTTTCTCTTGGAGCGTCCATGTGTTGTGCTTAGACTGTGTTAGGCTCTCTAGCTTATGAGTTACATTCTTTCATGAATTTGGAAAATTCTCAGCTACTACCTTCCCAAATATGCTTTCTTTCTTTCTCTTTTTCATATCCTCCAGGCTGTTAGCTATTTGCACTTTGTCTCATCTTTCAATCTTGGTATTTTCTATCGAGCCTACAAAGAAAAGTGTCTTCTTGGCTTTGTATTTCATTTCATGAATTCTCTTACATTTAATTTCTTAAATGTGTCCATTGCTTACCTTTTTCAATTACAGAGGTTATTTTTCACTTTTAGAAGCCCGTCTAGCATAATTTTGCCTGTTCTTGTTACGCAGTCATGTGAGTTTGATTCTGTCTGAGCACTGTTAACCGTGAAAGTGTGCAGTACATTCTGATTTGCTGTTGGGGTCTTGCTGATGGCTCCTCATTTCCGTTGTGAGTTTGACCTGCTCACTGAAACTTTGTGCTGAAGTTCTTTCAAGGCACATTCTACAGAAAGGAGTGGGGTCTTCCAGAGCTGAGCTCACAGCTTCCTTCTGGTCCTCTTCTGAGGAGTGGATTTCTCTCTCATTTCTCATTGGGCACTGAGATGGAGTCCTCTCTTTCCGAGAGCTTTCCTTCCACTGTGACTAGCTGCTGCCCCTTGTATTCAGTAACATGAACCCAGTGTGGCCTTCCACACAAAGCAGGGGACAGTTGAAGCTACCAGCTGTTTGTCCACGTGATTCCGCATCAAGTATTCCTAAAAAGTTGTCACATGGCCTTATTTCCATCAGGAGAGTCATCCATTCCTATGAGACAAGCTGGGTGGTGCAGTGTCTGTGTGCACTAGGCCAGCTTGTGATTCAGGGTTAGGGTTGTTTCTTTTAAAAAGCAGGAAGCTTTGTCCCTCATCAGGACACCAGGAGGCTGAGATTGTTTTATTTTATAAATGTGGTGGCACCAGGTTCTCATGTCAGCGAGCCTAGAAATTGTGGCTGTGTAAGAAACCGTGCTTGTTGGTGACGCCCATCATTACCAGTCCTTGCAAACAGTGTGCTTCAGTAATGGCTCCCTTCTTTCACAGCCTGATCACACGGATGCTGCAGAGAGACCCCAAAAGGAGAGCCTCTCTGGAAGAGATTGAAAGCCACCCTTGGCTCCAGGGAGTGGACCCCTCACCAGCCACCAAGTATAACATCCCCCTGGTGTCCTACAAGAACCTCTCGGAAGAGGAGCATAACAGCATCATCCAGCGCATGGTGCTCGGGGACATCGCAGACCGAGACGCCATCGTAGAGTACGTCTGTGCTTGGCACTGTGAGGGGCGGAGGGCTAGGAGTCTTGGTTCCCTGTGACCTGTAGACTAACGGGTCACGCTGTCTCACTGCAGTGACTGAGGAAGGATTTAATTGTGCCCTGTCATGTAGGGAAGAGAGTCCATTTTTGTGGGAAGGCATAGTGTCAGGGTCACGAGGCTGATGTGTCACACTGACTCTGCCACCAGGAAGCAGAGATAAATAGGAATTGGGGCCAGGCTGTAAAACTTCCAGGTCTGGCCCCAGTGGCCCACTTCTTCAGTTCTCCGCCTCCTAAAGGTACCACCGTCTTCCTAGACATGTCATCAGTTGGGGACATCCCACATTTAACCCACAGCACGGCTGGAGCTCCCAGTTGACAGCCATTGTGTCATTGTCCCCAGCATTCATGGCCCAGCATCTGGCACATGGACCTTGTTTCCTTGTATTCTAGTGTGGACGGTGTTGCCATTGCCAGGTGGTGTCCGTGGATAGGTACCTTGGCCTTTCTTGATGCCTGTAGAAGTGCAGTGAAATAGGACGGTTAGTGTCTCAGTGTACAGTGTCTGTAGGGTATTATGACAGGCTCAGCCCTGCTTTTGTGTGACTCCAGTGGGTTGCTATGTACTGCCTCTAGCTGCATGGTACTTACCAGGACGGAGTGGCCCCAAGCCAGAGTGTTTGCTGTCTATTCCTTGGGGACTCTCTGCAGCATCCTGGAACTTACATATCAAGTAGTTGCTGGTGAAATCAGCAAAACGACCCATTTTTAGTGACTTGAGCAGTGCAGAGGGCCAGTGCTTCTGCTCTGCTCTGGCGATGAGTCACTTTGGTAAGACAGGAGGGCACTTCCAGAGATACAGAGCAGCAGTTACCTCATGTGTTTAATGAAACATATGCCCCCACTTAGGGAAGCAAGCAAGCAAGCGGTAATAACCATGGGTGGCCACTTGGGGCTGGCTGTGGATCTCAGTTCTCTGATGTGGGAAAGAGGTGGGCACACTATTAACAGATGTGTCCAGTGGGAGCTCTGGTCTCTGGGAAAGATCATTTCTATAGAAAGGACATATTTGCAGAAATGAAACCAGGATCCCAGGTGCTTGTGAGTTTTCTCTGGTTGGTGCCCAGGCACCTAAACAACCTGAACAAGGGCAGGACACTTGGTTTCTGCACAGAGTCTTACTCTGATGTGTATAGAAAGCTTTTTTTTTCATTTTTGGAGTCGCTTCTGTAGCTCTGTGTGCAGCAGTGTGTCAGACCTGCTCGCTCAGTGCAAACTCTATTACAAGCCCATAGGTGACTGCAGCTTGCCAAGCACATGGCTCCCAGCCAGGCTTACTTCTGGCTGAGTGTGTGCACTCTTGAGAACCTGCTTACTCTGAGAGCAGTTCCTGGTTTAAAGGCCTGTGTGTCTTAAAGGACTCCCCTGAACCCAGACAGCTGCTTTCTCAGGAACCGTTTGTGAGAGGTCACTCTCCCCTGAATTCACCCTAGGACTTGAACTGTATTTCTCTTGTGTACTGCAATTTACCAAAGCCAGAGGCTTCCAGAAACCAGAGCTGTGTTCCTAAGCCTTGTGAGGCTGTCCCTGACAGCCGCTGCAGAAGGTGGGCAAGGCTCTGCTGTGCACTTGATTGTCATGTCTCCGGTGCCTGTCCTGTGAACATTGTTGTTCAAATGGATGGACACACAGTGGCTCTACTAGAGGAAGGATGGGAGTAGCACCCTCTAGATTGCATTCATTGCTCTCCGGTGCTCTCATTGCCAGTCCAGGCAAAAGTGAAATTACCTCCAGCCATTCTGATTGGCCATGGCTCACAGAGTGCCTTTAGTCCATTCCTCAGCAAAAGTCAGCCCCGCATGCCAGCATGTCCCTAGAGAACACACATGCTCTTAGAAGCCTGTTGCCTTTCTCATGTCCGCAGTGCTGATTCCAGTCCAGCTACACCAGCAATTTGCTCTTTTCTCACTGTTCTGAACATTTTGATTTAGTTGCTTTTTTTGGATTTCATTAACAACCTGAGTACAGAGTTTAGTTCTCTCTAGTTTGTATTTTTGTCTCACTTTAAAAGCTTTCCAGATTCTGGATTTCATTAGGTTATATTGTTTTAAAAATCTTGTAAAAACCTAGCAGTGTGGCTTCTGATTGCTCTTGCTTTGTTTCTGCAGAGCCCTGGAAACCAACAGGTACAACCACATCACAGCCACTTACTTCTTACTCGCTGAAAGGATCCTGAGAGAAAAGCAAGAGAAGGAAGTACAGACCCGATCCGCAAGCCCCAGCAACATCAAGGCCCAGTTTAGGTGAGGAAAATGCCTTCATTGATATTAGTGAGTTAATGTTCTCAAATAGGGAACTGTTTGTGATGCTTTGTGATTCTGCGGGCAGGAGAACCCTCACCCTCACAGGGATGAAGGCTGCCTCCACAGAGGTAACACCATGCTCCTCTGCTGTGTGCTAGTGGCAGGTGGTTCCCAGTACCTGGTGCCTGACCTCGTATGTCCTTGAAGAATTCCTTCAAGAGCAGTGTGGATTTCCTTTTGGTTACTTGGAAGAATTTTTTAAGATAGGGGCATATAGTTAGGATTTCAGAGATTGGGCAGCTGTTATCAGTTAGTTGATTTGTTAGCTGTTGGGTCCTAGGAATACTAACATCTCTGATTTAGCTAAGTACCACTGTTGACCTCCTGAGGAGGGGCTCAGTGAGTTAGACCAGGCAGGGCTCCTTGTTGCAGCCACTGACTAGAACCTTTGCTGGAGTTGATTCTCAGGTTTGCTTGGTGGAGTGAAGCCTGTCCTGAGGGCCAGCAGTCACTGTCCTTCAAGCCTGTGTGACCAGTGTTGTGTTCTTTACCTACAGAAGGGAGTAGTTATAACTCCTTAAAATTCACCTGCCCAGGTGCTCAGGGGCTGACTTTGAGTAAGCACTTCCCTCCACGAACTCGCCATTAGTCTTTTTCAGTTTCATTTGCAGCTTTCCTAGAGTTTTTTCTTCTCTTCCATTAAGATATCTTTGCCTTGTTGGGCTCTACCTATTGTTGCCATTTTGGACAGGTAAGTCATATGCGCAGGAAAGGTGAGCTGCCAAACTGATTGTTTTCACACCATGACAGCCAGTGGTGGGGAGAGTGTTCATCGGGTGTTTGCCAAGGCCATCTCTGGGTGTGGCTCCTCAGTGGGTTTTGCTGAAAACTGATGGAAAGGGGAGGAGAGAGGAGCCTGCTGGGCTGCTGCTTCTCTAACATGGCCTGAACCCCTAACTCTAGGCCTCACTCAGTGCCCTCTGGTCATCTCTTCACCTGGTGGCCTTCAGCCCTACTGGACACCACCTGTTACACACCTCCAGTAGTGGCCGATGCAGGGAGCAGTTCTTCCTCCCCTACAGGTGTTGGGGCTCCCAGTTGGGGGACTGTGTCTGTGCAAGGGTATTTTACAGCTGAGTTGTAATTGGTGGGAAATGAAGATGCCACTATGAAAGTAGCTGTTGAAAGTGCCTGTGGCACCATTACAGCCTCCAGTGTCCTCCCTTCCCTCAGCAGATAAGACAGTCAGGAACCTCAGGCACCTCCAGATTGAAAGACAAATGTTCAATTAACAGTTTTGCTCTCTAGTACCCTTGTGTGGGTAATGAGAATGTAGGTATCTATACTAGCAAGACTATTCATTAGAGATTTATTTCCAGTACTCTGTCATTTAAATCTGTCATCCATTTTGATCAATGCTGAGCTTTCATACCATCCTGTGAAGTCTGTGCTGGGCATTCCAGGTGAACCTCATGTGTCCTGTGAGAGCCAGAGGGTATGTGTGATGACCATGTATGCATGTGTGTATACGTGAGAGAGTATATCTGGGTGTTTGTGTATGCATGTGAGCGTGTTTGTATGTGTGCATATATGAGCAGGTGTGCATGGTGTATATATTCAGGTGTGTGTAAAAGTATGTGATGTGAACTTGCTACATCTGCCTTCTGGTGTCCTTGCTGGTGAACCTGAAATGCTTTTCACATCTGTGGATTTTGTCCTAGCTCTGTGTGTATGCAACTTTGTATGTGAGGGCATGTATGCCATGGCTTCTGTGTGGAGGTTCAGAGATACCTTGGGTTCTGGTCCTCACCTTCCATCTTGTGTGAAACGTGCAGGGATTTCTGGCCAGTGGTTCTGGAACTCATCCAGCCTCCATCCGCCATCTTGTGATGGTGCTGGGTTACAAGAGTGCTCAGCCTGCCGCATCTGACTTTCCATGGGTGGCCAGAATCTGAAGACAGCACTCTACCAACTGAGCTGTTTGCCTTCCCAGATAGATCAATACATGACGATTATTTTTCCTCTGCCCCACAGGCAGTCATGGCCAACCAAAATTGATGTGCCCCAAGACCTTGAGGATGACCTCACTGCCACCCCTCTGTCTCATGCCACAGTCCCACAGTCTCCCGCTCGGGCTGCCGACAATGTTCTTAATGGCCACAGGAGCAAAGGTCTGTGTGACTCGGCCAAGAAAGACGAGCTCCCGGAGCTGGCTGGGCCAGCTCTGTCCACTGTGCCACCTACCAGCCTGAACCCTGCTGCCAGTGGCCGCAAGTGTCTCTTCAGGGTAGAAGAAGATGAAGAGGAGGACGAGGAGGACAAGAAGCCTGTGTCCCTGTCCACACAGGTGGTGCTGCGCCGGAAGCCGTCGGTCACTAACCGCCTGACGTCTCGAAAGAGTGCCCCAGTGCTCAACCAGATCTTTGAAGAGGGCGAGTCCGACGATGAGTTCGACATGGACGAGAACCTGCCGCCCAAGCTGAGCCGGCTGAAGATGAACATTGCTTCGCCGGGCACGGTGCACAAGCGCTACCACCGCAGGAAAAGCCAGGGCCGCGGCTCCAGCTGCAGCAGCTCTGAGACCAGTGATGACGACTCTGAGAGCCGCAGGCGGCTGGACAAGGACGGCGGCTTTGCTTACTCATGGCACCGGCGTGACAGCAGCGAGGGGCCACCGGGCAGTGAGGGCGATGGCGGCGGCCAGAGCAAGCCTAGCAGCGGTGGTGGGGTGGATAAGAGCAGCCCAGGCGAGCAGGGCACGGGCGGTGGTGGCCAGAGTGGCTCAGGCGGGACCCCGTC